GGGGCAGCCAGGGCACACAGAGGAACCGAGAAATGCATGGATCAGTTTCCTCTATGTGCCCGAGCCCAGCCACCCCTCCGATCCAGAGAGCCCCGGTCTCCTGGGCAAATGCTCAGTGTGCCCTATGGTCAGTTCAGGCCTGCTCCTAAATGTGCACCATTCAGAAGAGGTTTACTTTTTGCAGCAGGTGGTGACCTCACTGGCGCATGCGCTCTCAAGGAACAGCATATCTATTTTCATGCACAACCATCTCTAGGGTTTATAGAGAATGGTTAGAAAAAGAGAAAATATCCAGTGAGCGGTAGTTGTGTGGATGAAAATGCCTTGTTGATGTCAGAGGTCAGAGGTTAAAGGGCAGACTGGTTCCAAAATGATAGAAAGGCGACCATAAGTCAAATGACCACTCGTTATACAACCAAGGTATGCAGAATACCATCTCTGAACGCACATGTCCAACCTTCAAGCAAATGGGCTACAGCAGCAGAAGACCACACTGGGTGCCACTCCTGTCAGCTAAGAACAGAAACGGAGGCTACAATTCGCACAGGCTCACCAAAATCGGACAAGAGAATATTGGTTCCCATGGTCTGATGAGTCTCGATTTCCTTAGAGATGGTTGTGCGTGAAAATCCCAGTAGGATCAGCAGTTTTTGGAATACTCAGACAAGCCCGTCTGGCACCAACAACCATGCCACGTTCAAAGCCACTTAAATCCCCTTTCTTCCCAATTCTGATGCTCGGTTTGAACTTCAGCAAATCGTCTTCACCACGTCTAGATGCCTAAATGCATTGAGTTGCTACCATGTGATTGGCTGATTAACAATTTGTGTTACCAAGCAATTGAACAGGTGGACCTAATAAAGTGGCCGGTGAGTGTATATAGACCAAGTTGTCCGTATACATGAGGCCTAACACAAGGATAAAGGACAGTAAAGTAACAATAACATACCATTAGAAGTATAACACGGAATACTACACTAGAATATGGCGCCCTGGATAGCTCCCAGTATTCACGCTGTGACCATTAACCCTTTGCTTTTCCTGATATGCAGGATACACTCACCCATTTGCGTATGGCCCAGGAAGGGAAAGCTCATTAGAACCAGAACTTTCATTGCGGTCCCTACTTGGAACTTTCCCCCAGGACACATCTTGTTGACTTATTTCTACTGAGACCCATATGAATCGACTGAACCCCACCCTGAGAACTTGTCTTCACCGTCAACCAACTACACTGATTTCACTTTCACTTTGTCAGGACGGAATGACGTCTGCTGCTATCTACCGCCACATACAATATACTGCAGTCTCAACAAGGACTATTAAGGCTCCGTTCACACCAATGTGTTTTTTTTTAGTGCTTTTTGCAGAAACGCACTACAGTTAATTTAACATGGTTTCCTATGGGGACATGTTCACAGCTATGCTTTTTTAACTTCTGCGTTTTTGGAAAAGGGAGGGGGACTTTTTTAAAAGCAAAAAGCAGCACTTTTGCTACCAATGAGTTCAATGGAGAAGCTGCTGAAATACATGGTAGTGCATTTTTGCCACGTTTTGCATTTTTATTCTGCCCAGAAATAAAAAAAATTCCCCTTTATAAAAAAAATAAGAGCTGAACAAAGTACGGCAAAAATGTGTGTAGAAAAGCGCAAAGCAAACTGCAAAAAGCATCAAATGCAAACTGCATATATGTGAAACAAGCCTAAAAGTGTATTTCCACGTTTGCACGTTCCCATTCACATAAAAATAAAAAAATTGGCTGCTTACCTTTTGAAGTGCTTTTTACTTCCATAACCCTTATGCTGCCACTGATGAATGGCATATGTCAGCGGTGTTGAGTTTTACACAGACACACCTGGCTGCTACAGGAGACGGGAATAACTTATACATTTTACTCCTGCGCTGCAACCAAGATAGTTACAAAAAATGGCCACTGCCCCGTCTATAACTGGCCTTCATTGCAAGGAACACATGGACGGGCGACGCATGTCAAACAACAAAAGAGAAAAGTTCCCAGCTAAACTTGCCAGCCAGCCTGCAAACAACCGAATTAACCTGTCTAACAGTATGCGATAACAGTGGATATAGTGAATGCAGGTCCAGGGAGAGCGGATATAGTGAATGCGGGGACGTCCGGGGACTAACTGAGCAGATATAGTGAATGCAGGGTCCGGAGAGAGTGAATAATAGTGAGTGCAGGGTCCAGGGAGACCAGATATAGTGAATGCAGGGTCCAGGGAGAGCGGATATATAGTGCATTCAGGGTCCGGGGAGAGGGATATAGTGAATGCAGGTCCGGGGAGAGCAGATATAGTGAATGCAGGGTCCTGGGAGAGCAACGGATATAGTGAATGCAGGGTCCGGGGAGAGCGGATATAGTGAATGCAGGGTCCCGGGAGACGGATATAGTGAATGCAGGGTCCGGGGGAGACCGGATTATAGTGAATGCGTGGTCCGGGGAGGGGATTATATTGTGAATGCGGGGTCCGGGGAGACCGGATATAGTGAATGCGGGGTCCGGGGAGAGGCGGATATAGTGAATGCGGGGTCCGGAGAGAACCAAATGTAGTGAAAGTGCAGGGTCCGGGGAGAGCAGGGGGATATAGTGAATGCAGAGGTTCGGGGGAGAGAGCAGATATAGTGAATGCAAGGTCCTGGGAGACCAGATATAGTGAATGCAGGGTCCTGGGGTGACCAGATATAGTGAAATGCAGGGTCCGGGGAGAGAGCAGATTATATAGTGAATGCAGGGGTCCGGGGAGAGGGGATATAGTGAATGCAGGGGTCCTTGGGAGAGACCAGATATAGTGAATGCAGGGTCCAGGAGAGAGCAGAATATAGTGAATGCAGGGTCCGGGAGAGGGGATATAGTGAATGCAGGGTCCGGGGTGAGACCGGAGATAGTGAAATGCAGGGTCCGGGGAGACCGGATATAGTGAATGCAGGGTCTAAGGAGACCGGATATAGTGAATGCAGGGTCCGGGGAGAGCCCTAGATATAGTGAATGCAGGGTTTTGGGGAGAGCAGCAGGATATAGTGAATGCAGGTTCCTGGGAGAGACAGATATAGTGAATGCAGGGTCCAGGGGAGACCAGCGGATATAGTGAATGCAGGGTCCCGGGAGAGCGGATATAGTGAATGCAGGGTCCTGGGAGACCGCGGATATAGTGAATGCAGGGTCCTGGGGGAGAGCGGATATAGTGAATGAAGGGTCCGGGGAGAAGAATGGATATAGTGAATGCAGGGTCCGGGGAGAGCGGATATAGTGAATGCAGGGTCCTGGGAGACCGGATATAGTGAATGCGGGTCCGGGGGAGAGGGGATATAGTGAATGCAGGGTCCTAGGGGAGAGGGGATATAGTGAATGCAGGGTCCGGGGGAGAGACCGGATATAGTGAATGCGGGGTCCGGGGAGACCGGATATAGTGAATAGGGATATAGTGAATGCTGGGTCCGGGGAGACCGGGATATAGTGAATGCAGGGTCCGGGGAGAATTGGAGATATAGTGAATGCAGGGTCCGGGGAGAGAGCAGATATAGTGAATGCAGGGTCCTGGGAGACCAGATATAGTGAATGCAGGGTCCGGGAGACCAGATATAGTGAATGCAGGGGGTCCGGGGAGAGCAGATATAGTGAATGCAGGGTTCCGGGGAGAGCAGATATAGTGAATGCAGGGTCGGGGGTCCGGGGAGAGCAGATATAGTGAATGCAGGGTCCTGGGAGACCAGATATAGTGAATGCAGGGTCCGGGGAGAGCAGATATAGTGAATGCAGGGTCCGGGGAGAGCCAGATATATAGTGAATGCAGGGTCCGGGGGGAGACCGGATATAGTGAATGCAGGGTTCCGGGGAGACCAGATATATAGTGAATGCAGGGTCCGGGGGTCCTTGGGAGACCGGATATAGTGAATGCAGGGTCCGGGGAGAGCAGGATATAGTGAATGCAGGGTGTCCGGGGGAGAGGGGATATAGTATAGTGAATGCAGGGTTCCGGGGAGACCGGATATAGTGAATGCAGGTCCCGGGGGGAGAGGGGATATAGTGAATGCAGGGGTCCGGGGAGATAGGATATAGTGAATGCAGGGTCCGGGGAGACCGATATAGTGAATGCGGGGTCCGGGAGAGGACCAGGATATAGTGAATGCAGGGTCGGGGAGAGGAAAAATGTAGTGAATGCAGGGTCCGGGGAGAGCAGAGGCATATAGTGAATGCAGGTTCCGGGGAGAGCAGATATAGTGAAATGCAGGGTCCGGGGAGACCAGATATAGTGAATGCAGGGTCCTGGGAGACCAGATATAGTGAATGCAGGGTCCGGGGAGAAGTGGGATATAGTGAGTGCAGGGTCCAGGGGAGACCAGATATAGTGAATGCAGGGTCCTGGGAGAGCGGATATAGTGAATGCAGGGTCCGGGGAGAGCGGATATAGTGAATGCGGGTCCGGGCAGGGAACTCCGGGTGGGGAGAGCGGATATAGTGAATGCGGGGTCCGGGGGAGAGAATGCGCAGATTATAGTGAATGCAGGGTCCTGGGAGAGAGGGATATAGTGAATGCAGGGTCCGGGGAGAGCAGATATAGTGAATGCAGGGGTCCGGGGAGAGCGGATATAGTGAATGCAGGGTCCAGGGGAGACCGGATATAGTGAATGAAGAGCGGATATAGTGAGTGCGGGTCGGGAGAGGCCTGGGATATTGTGAATGCAGGGTCCGGGGAGAGGGGATATAGTGAATGCGGGGTCCGGGGAGAAGGGATATAGTGAATGCAGGGTCCGGGGAGACGTCAGGATATAGTGAATGCAGGGTCTATTAATGGGGTCAGACCAAATGATAGTGAATGCAGGGTCCGGGGAGAGCAGATATAGTGAATGCAGGTTGGGGAGAGCAGATATAGTGAATGCAGGGTCCTGGGAGACCAGTGATATAGTGAATGCAGGGTGTCCAGGGAGACCAGATATAGTGAATGCAGGGTCCGGGGAGAGCGGATATAGTGAATGCAGGGTCCGGGAGAGCGATATATAGTGAATGCAGGGTCCTGGGGAGAGCGGGATATAGTGAATGCAGGGTCCGGGGAGAGCGGATATAGTGAATGCAGGGTCCGGGGAGAGCGGATATAGTGAATGCAGGGTCCGGGAGACCAGGATATAGTGAATGCGTGGGTCCGGGGAGAGGGGATATAGTGAATGCAGGGTCCGGGGAGAGGGGATATAGTGAATGCAGGGGTCCGGGGAGACCAGGATATAGTGAATGCGGGGTCGGGGAGACCGGATATAGTGAATGCGGGGTCTGGGGAGAGACCAGATATAGTGAATGCAGGGTCCGGGGAGAGCAGATATAGTGAATGCAGGAGTCCGGGGAGAGCAGATATAGTGAATGCAGGGTCCTGGGAGACCAGATAGTAGTGAATGCAGGGTCCGGGGAGAGAGGAGCGGATATAGTGAATGCAGGGTTCCGGGGAGAGCAGATATAGTGAATGCAGGGGTCCCGGGGAGAGCAGATATAGTGAATGCAGGGTCCGGGAGAGATATAGTGAATGCAGGGGTCCGGGGAGAGCGGATATAGTGAATGCAGGGTCCGGGGAGAGCGGATATATAGTGAATGCAGGGTCCGGGGAGACCGGATATAGTGAATGCAGGGTCCGGGGAGAGCAGGATATAGTGAATGCAGGGTTCCGGGGAGACCGGATATAGTGAATGCAGGGTCTGGGGAGACCAGATATAGTGAATGCAGGGTCCGGGGAGAGGGGATATAGTGAATGCAGGGTCCGGGGAGACCGGATATAGTGAATGCGAGGGTCCGGGGAGAGGGGATATTGTGAATGCAGGGTCCGGGGAGAGCGGATATAGTGAATGCGGGTCCCCCGGGGAGACCGGATATATAGTGAATGCGGGTCCGGGGAGAGACCGGATATAGTGAATGCGGGGTCTGGGGAGACCAATATAGTGAATGCAGGGTCCGGGGAGAGCAGATATAGTGAATGCAGGAGTTCCGGGGAGAGCGGATATAGTGAATGCAGGGTCCTGGGAGACCAGATATAGTGAATGCAGGGTCCAGGGAGACCAGATATAGTGAATGCAGGGTCCGGGGAGACCAGGATATAGTGAATGCAGGGTCCGGGAGAGCGCGGATATAGTGAATGCAGGGTCCACCGGGGAGAGCGGATATAGTGAATGCAGGGTCCGGGGAGAGCGGATATAGTGAATGCAGGGTCCGGGGAGAGCGGATATAGTGAATGCAGGGGTCCGGGGAGAGAGCGGATATAGTGAATGCGTGGGTCCGGGGAGAGGGATATATTGTGAATGCAGGGTCCGGGGAGAGGATATAGTGAATGCAGGGTCCGGGAGACCGGATATAGTGAATGCGGGGTCCGGGGAGAGACCGGATATAGTGAATGCGGGGTCCGGGGAGAGCGGACCATATGTAGTGAATGCTGCAGGGTCCGGGGAGACCGGATATAGTGAATGCAGGGTCCGGGGAGGGCAGATATAGTGGGAATGCAGGGTCCTGGGAGATTTATAGTGAATGCAGGGGTCCAGGGGGAGACCAGATATAGTGAATGCAGGGTCCGGGGAGAGCGGATATAGTGAATGCAGGGTTCGGGGAGAGCAGATATAGTGAATGCAGGGTCCGGGGAGAGCAGATATAGTGAATGCAGGGTCCGGGGAGACCAGATATAGTGAATGCAGGGTCCGGGGAGAAGCAGATATAGTGAATGCAGGGTCCGGGGAGAGCGGATATAGTGAATGCAGGGTCCGGGGGAGACCGGATATAGTGAATGCAGGGTCCCATGGAGACCAGATATAGTGAATGCAGGGTCCGGGAGACCCTGGATATAGTGAATGCAGGGTCCGGGGGAGAGGGGATATAGTGAATGCAGGGTCCGGGGAGACCGGATATAGTGAATGCAGGGTCCGGGGAGACCGGATATAGTGAATGCAGGGTCCGGGGAGACCGGATATAGTGAATGCAGGGTCCCGGGGAGACCTGGGATATAGTGAATGCAGGGGTCCGGGGAGAGACCAATTATAGTGAATGCAGGGTCCGGGGGAGCCAGATATAGTGAATGCAGATCCGGGGAGAGCAGATATAGTGAATGCAGGGTCCGGGGAGACCAGATATAGTGAATGCAGGGTCCGGGGAGAGACAGTGATATAGTGATGCATGCAGGGTCCGGGGAGAGCGGATATAGTGAATGCAGGGTCCGGGGAGAGCGGATATAGTGAATGCAGGGTCCGGGAGAGCGGATATAGTGAATGCAGGGTCCGGGGAGAGCGGATATAGTGAATGCAGGGTCCGGGGAGAGACGGATATAGTGAATGCAGGGTCCGGGGTGAGACCGGATATATAGTGAATGCAGGGTCCGGGGAGAGGGGATATAGTGAATGCAGGGTCCGGGGAGACCAGGGATATAGTGAATGCAGGGTCCCGGGGAGACCGGATATAGTGAATGCAGGGGTCCGGGAGAGGTATAGTGAATATAGTGAATGCAGGGTCCGGGGAGAGCAGATATAGTGAATGCAGGGTTTCGGGGGAGAGCAGATATAGTGAATGCAGGGTCCGGGGAGACCAGATATAGTGAATGCAGGGTCCGGGGAGACCAGGATTATAGTGAATGCAGGGTCCGGGAGAGGAGCGAGATATAGTGAATGCAGGGTTCGGGGAGAGCGGAGATATAGTGAATGCAGGGTCCTGGGAGACCAGATATAGTGAATGCAGGGGGCTGGGAGACCATATATAGTGAATGCAGGGGTCCGGGGAGACCAGATATAGTGAATGCGGGGTTCTCCGGGGAGAGCGGATATAGTGAATGCAGGGTCCGGGGAGACCAGATATAGTGAATGCAGGGTTCCGTGGGAGATGACCATGGAGATATAGTGAATGCAGGGTCCGGGGAGACCGGATATAGTGAATGCAGGGTCTGGGGAGACCAGATATAGTGAATGCAGGGTCCGGGGAGAGACTGCAGATATAGTGAATGCAGGGTCCGGGGGAGAGAGGATATATAGTGAATGCAGGGTCCGGGGGAGAGCTGGATGATATAGTGAATGCAGGGGTCCGGGGAGAGGGATATAGTGAATGGCGGGTCCGGGGGAGACCGGATATAGTGAATGCAGGGTCCGGGGAGACAGATATAGTGAATGCAGGGGTCCGGGGAGAAGCCATATGTAGGTGAATGCAGGGTCCGGGGAGAGCAGATATAGTGAATGCAGAGTTCCGGGAGAGCCGATATAGTGAATGCAGGGGTCTGGGGAGACCAGATATAGTGAATGCAGGGTCCTGGGAGAGCCAGATATAGTGAATGCAGGGTCCGGGAGAGAGATATAGTGAATGCAGGGTCCGGGGGAGAGTCAGATATAGTGAATTGCAGGGTCCGGGGTGAGACGGGATATAGTGAATGCAGGGTCCGGGAGAGCAGGATATAGTGAATGCAGGGTCCCGGGAGAGCGGATATAGTGAATGCAGGGTCGGGGAGACCGGATTTAGTGAATGCAGGGTTCATGGGGAGACCAGATATAGTGAATGGCAGGGTCCGGGGAGACGGGAGACCGGATATAGTTGAATGCAGGGTATGGGGAGACCACGTATATAGTGAATGCAGGGTCTCCGGGGAGAGGGGATATAGTGAATGCAGGCGTCCGGGGA